GGCTCACAGCTTATTTCGTGCAAGCAATATTTTTGTAGATTTAGTCGTGAAAATCCAAAATTTTGTTCAAAATAAAAAATTTTAAATATGCAACTTTAAAGAATGTTTAGTTTTTATTATAAAACAAAAAAAAAATTAGCAAAAATATCAATATTCAAGAAGTTAAGTGAACAAAAACAAACATACACCAAATTCTGACCTCACAGCTTATTTCGTGCAATACATTTTTTTTAGAAAATTAATCATTTTTGGCATAAAAAAGTGAATTTTAGTATTTAGTGGGATAGTCCTTTTGTTTAATTACTGCCTCCAACCTTGAACGCATTGAAATAACTAATTTTTGAGTATATTCCACTGATATTTTTTGACATTCCAATTTTAAAGCAGCTTTCATACTTTCCTTGCTATAAATGTTATGTTTTCTTATGTTAGGTTCCAGAATATGCCATAAATTTGCTATGACACTAAAGTCAGGTGATTGGGGAGGTGTTTGGATGATGTGTGACCAATTCCCAAAAAGCCAAGTCTGCACAAGACCCGACTTGTGCTTCAGATCGTTATCCTGGTAAAAACAGAAATTGTTAATTATGCCTAAATATTCGGCACTTTTATGCAAATTTTGCTTTAAAATATTAAGATACACTTCTTTATCCATTGTTGATTCTATAAATTGTAGATTACCTACTCCTGCCGCTGATTTACACCCCAATACTATCACATGCTTGCCACCGTGTTTAACTGTGCCATATAAATTTTCTTTTTGGAGCTTAGTATGTGATATATTTGGCGTATTTTTAATAGTATTTCACATATGATATACCATCTGAAGCGTAGAGATCAAATTTACTCTAATTGACAAAAAATACTGCGTTTCAGAAAGAACTATTCTTGTACAGGTGGTGTTTGGTAAACTGCATGCGAAACCGTCGGCAGGCATATGATAGTATTGGGGTGTAAATCAGCGGCAGGAGTAGGTAATCTACAATTTATAGAATCAACAATGGATAAGGAAGTGTATCTTAATATATTAAAGCAAAATTTGCATAAAAGTGCCGAATATTTAGGCATAATTAACAATTTCTGTTTTTACCAGGATAACGATCTGAAGCACAAGTCGGGTCTTGTGCAGACTTGGCTTGTTGGAAATTATCCACACATCATCCAAACACCTCCACAATCACCTGACTTTAGTGTCATAGCAAATTTATGGCATATTCTGGAAACTAACATAAGAAAATGTAACATTTATAGCAAGGAAAGTATGAAAGCTGCTTTAAAATTGGAATGGCAAAAAATATCAGTGGAATATACTCAAAAATTAGTTATTTCAATGCGTTCAAGGTTGGAGGCAGTAATTAAACAAAAGGACTATTCCACTTAATACTAAAATTATTAATTTTCTAAAAAAAAATGTATTGCACGAAATAAGCTGTGAGGTCAGAATTTGGTGTATGTTTGTTTTTGTTCACTTAACTTCTTGAATATTGATATTTTTGCTAAATTTTTTTTTGTTTTATAATAAAAACTAAACATTCTTTAAAGTTGCATATTTAAAATTTTTTATTTTGAACAAAATTTTGGATTTTCACGACTAAATCTACAAAAATATTGCTTGCACGAAATAAGCTGTGAGCCACTGTATAAATACTTACTATATGAAACAGGATACAATAACTAATGCACTCTCCACATCAAATATGGTCGGTTGTAAGTTCTTACTATCAAAGTAAAAAATTTTACTTCATTTGATTAAAACCAAATACTTTGATATTTAGGAGGAATACGTGTGCATATGACATCGTTACAGCATCGTCTATTATATTATGTTATCATAAGCAGTAGCTGGGAGTGCATATCTCATCCTTATTGTAGTAATTATTCAAGCAATATTCACTGGTAATTGGCAATTTCATAAAAAAATGTTGATCGTTTAGTGTTATTGTTATCATCATATATAAGTATTTGTAACATGATTTATGCGTTTATTTTGTTATTGATGTTTCTTCTACCAAATCTGTGTTCATTTTTAAAGGAACACCAGTACCATTAGATGTATCACATTTTATATAGGAATTATTGAATTTTTATTGTAATTTCATAGAGTCGGAAGATCACTCAGTTCAGTTGGTTTTGATGTCAGTATACATAAGTTGCCACTATAAGAATATTCAAATATAGTAATGAATTTTTGTTTACAGAGATGTAAAATTGAACTTACCACAACATAAAACTGAATATACAACGCTTATAGCTTTATATCGAAAGTACACTAGACAATATCCAAGAGCCATTCAGCAAAAGCAATGATGATGTACCACTTTAAAAAGTGTCTTAATTTTGCCAAAATTGGAAACCAAGTATTTTTGTATAACGGAATATATATAAAACGTGGATAGACTCATATTCTCATTCCACTTAGCAAACACCGACGATCATATGCCACTGAAACTAACATCTGATGAAGCGGATATGCTTGTTTCATAAAATACATCGTGAAATAAATGGTCAACTATTGTAATAAGTTAATGACTGTTATAATTCATTGAATACTGACGACTTGCAGTTGAGAAGTAACCACATTTTGCCACTTAGTTCCAAGTTAATCTCAGTTAAAATCACACCCATCCTTAATCCACATTTAACCCGTTTTACACTTCGTTTATCTAACCATTTTCTAACCCATGTTTTCGGCATTTGTAATTTAAAATATGCAAAATATTTTTATCCTTGGGATACAGGCAAAATTTTTTGAGTGGCCAAGTCATGATTTCATGTAACAGGCATTCAAGTATATTATTGAATATATGTAGCATCCAATTAGACAGAAGAGCAAGTAATATAATAAAAGTTGAGTAGTTCCAGGAGTGGCACTATTTTAAGTTACGGAACCACAACTCTACAACAAAGTGCAGCTCACTACATAAAACAGGAACAATGCCAGCAGGTTCTGCCCACTTGCAGGTGCTGCCCAAAACGATTAAAGTTGAATAGTGACTGTTGAAGGATCGCGATGTCTGCAGCGGCACAAATGTAATTATAACAGCAACTGTTGAGGCAGCATTAATTGGCGAGTCCCTATAAATAATAAAACAAAATCTATAATAAGAAAATAAAACATTTATTTTTTATAAAAATGATAATCTCGAATCATTACTCAGATCTTATTAAGATGGAAGTCAATGTCTTAATATGAACTGGGTGAGGTCATATTAAAACCCACTTCCAGTCACATTATTTAATAAAAAGCAATCCAAATAAGAGCAGCAATAAAATATATTTCATTGCTGCTTTCGAAGCGCCAACTCTTTCCAGGAATATCGCCGCCATGACAGCATTTATTCTTAAACCTAGCACTGCATAAAAAACTTCAGTACAAAAAAAAATTTTTTATACATTTTTTATCGTTTTAAAACGATAAAAAAAA